TTAGCCTTTTTCGACAACCACGAGCAGAGGTTGACTTGTGCTATATTCTAAGCACATCTAAAACTACTAAAAAAAGTATAAGTAAGTAGTTTTGTTTGTTTTATAGGATGTGGACCAATAACCTTTGCATTAGACGCCTTCAGCTCTAACACTAGGAGCAGGCTTAGGGACCTCGGTAACCGTACTCGTCGAACTCGACAAAGAGTTCGCCGTGCAACCTAACCCATGAATCAGCTCGCTGAGTTTCTCGCCGGATCTTCTCAGCGGGTCGCGATTCCGATCCGGTAGTAGATTCATTCGCGAAGCAGCTACTCTTGAGCTGTTAGGTCTCCTTCGGAGGCGCTCGGGTAGCTGTTAGCAAATCCCACCCCTCCTGGCTGAGCCTTTGCTCGCCCACGTGTCCTGGTGAAACTGGAAAGGCCTCCGGGCCACCAGTAATCCTTCAATCATAAAAAAAAAGGATGTGCACAGAATGGTAAGATCGAACGCGTCTGTTTGTTAAAGAGAAAACGTCAATTTGGCGACCGATTTATTAATTTATATAGTTATTCGCGATACAACGAAACGAGTTTTTAGGTTATACCGTTTTTGCACTTCGAACGTTTTCGCGTTACGGTATCTCGAATAAACGTTAATTTGTTTTTTTTTCGAATTTAAAGATTTTAACAGTTTTTTTTATAATTATATATAAAGTTTTACTTGAAGTATAATATAACTGTAACATAAAGTGTCGGTTCAATAATAAAATTATAGCGTTATAGCCTTCCTCGATAAATGGGCTATTTACAATTAACACACAATTAACATAAAAAAATAGTCAACAAGGTACATTATACACATGACACAAATACAAGGATTGTGGACCTAGATTACGGACCCTAAATATTTTGAACAAAGCTGCCTACTCAGACACTATTGACAGTACCTAACCATTTACTATAACTAGTGTTTGCTCGAAGATCAAAATTGGACCATAAACACTGACTCCTCGAGGCTTATTTTCATATTATGTATTAATATTTATTAGGTATTAGTCCAATTCAATGAAATATACTTAGTCTGGCCATAAATACTGTTACAATTAAAAATTAACAAAATATTACATTTGAATTTGGAATCTGTCATTTTTATATGATTGCTCATTGAGTTTTCTCATTTTGGCGCCAATACATTGTACAATATTTTGCGATATTAAAATGGAGTGGGGTGATAAAGATAACCGAATCGCTGTGATTGCATTAAACAAAGTACTTAGTCTGGCCATAAATACTGTTACAAAGCAAAAAAGAAATTCTATTGCAAATAACATTTATTACTTTTACAGTTTGTTAGTTTAATACATAAATATAAAACAATTTAAAGTATAAAAAGCTTATTCGAAGTGGTCTCCATTGGCTGCAATACAGTCCTTTAAACGTTGAGGCCAGTTATCAATATAAGCACGCACTCTTTCCATGAGAAAATTTTTCACTGCCAATTGTACGGATTGTTTTAGGAACTCCAAATTATCATGGCGTTTAGAGCAAGCCGTACTCTCTAAAACTGGCCATAAATCATAATCCAGCGGATTAAGATCGGGACTAGACGACGGCCAGTCTTCAGCTCTGATGAAGTCCGAAACGTTCGTTTCCAACCAAGACTGCGTAGACCGAACTTTATGACCTGGCGCCGAGTCTTGCTGGAAGGACCATTCTTGATTATTGAACATGGTGTTGTTAAGGGGATTCACTACCTTCTCAAGAATGGTATCTTGATACACTTGTGAGGATGTTTTGATACCTTTTTCACAAAAGTATGGCTCAGTCACTCCTTCATAGCTAATACCCCACCAAACCATCACTGAAGTCGGATAGTGCCCACGTTGCACTCTGTCGACTAATTGGGAAGCTTCCTTAGAGCTTTGAGCATAAATATGGTCATTTTGTTTGTTAAAATGTTGCTCAATTGTAAAAATTTTCTCATCCGTAAACAAAAATTTTCTGTGACCCCCCTTTGCGTATTGCTTCAGTAGTTGTTTCGATTTTACCACTCTATTCTCTTTTAAATTATCAGTTAAAAAAATGACCAGTACGTCTCTTATAGGGTGCAAGTCCTAAGTCATCTTTTAAAATACGCGACATGGTTCTAGATGCTATCTTCATCTCCCGAGATAAAATCTTTTGCTTTCGGACAGGATTTCTACGAATTCTTTCCCTTACTGCTTTGACCACCTTTTTCAAAAGAACACTACGTGGACGGCCAGATCTTTTTCTGTCACAAACAGAGGAGGTCTCATTGCACCTATTAAGAGCCCGGTACACAAATATTTTACTAATTCCAAGCGTATGGAGAGTTTTAAAAATTGCATTTGGCTCCATACCTACTTAGTCTGGCCATAAATACATGTAACAACACACTGTAAAAGTAATAAATGTTATGTTAATGTTGCAATAATGTTAATAATGTTAATGTTAATAATAATTGTTAATGTTGCAATAATTTTTTTTTTTTTTTTAATTGTAACAGATGTAAATGATGATGATGATGATGATGATAATGGCCAGACTAAGTATATACTATCTAAATCTATATTATATTAACCTAATGCCACGCGACAGAAATAGGCAGGACGTATGTAATTTTCATTCGTGAACAGTATCAACGCGTATTTCAGCCTAAACCAAAATACAGTGACGTGCCTACAAACACAAGCACGTGTATTTATCTTGAAGAATTATTTACGTTCTTGACCTACATAATTAGTAAATATTTAACCAACTGCTCTTTCACTAAACAACGAACACGACCCATTTGAGACTAAAAGAAAACTAAATATTCACCTCGGTATTGAGCTCACGATGTATCCTGCTGCGTTAATTTGAAACAGGCAATGTTTTTTTAAATAGTTACAGTTATTAATTTAAGAACGTTTTTTGCGATTTTATCAGCTCCGGCTGACTTTCGGACATAAGTACTTTGAATAATATTGTTTTAACACGAATATAAGTGTGTTAGCGATACACTGTGTCTACACCGTGTGAAAAATGTTAATAAAAACTCGGAAATTAAATTAAACTGTTTACTGGTGGTACCTCTTGTGAGTCCGCGCGGGTAGGTACCACCACCCTGCCTATTTCAGCCGTGAAGCAGTAATGCGTTTCGGTTTGAAGGGTGGGGCAGCCGTTGTAACTATACTGAGATCTTAGAACTTATATCTCAAGGTGGGTGGCACATTTGCGTTGTAGATGTCTATGGGCTCCAGTAACCACTTTACACCAGGTGGGCTGTGAGCTCGTCCAAACAACTAAGCAAAAAAAAAAAAAAATTAGTTGGCGCTAACAATTTTCAGTTTCTGTTTATGACTATACATTAGTGTCATAGGCCTATGGGGAATAATTTTACCTTACTGTATAGTAACAATGTATTTGTATTTCGCCCCGGCAATTCAGCCCAAGGTTTAAATGACAACCTTCTTCTTCTATGTCTAACTATCAATTGTCGTCAAAGTTCTTGTGGATGATGTTTTTTTAATTGAATCTAGACAGATATGATGTAAATTGGGTTCGTCAAATTATCAGAATACAAAATCTAATCTAATATTTGTTAAGTTTTTAAAATAGTATAATATCGCTCAATATAATCAATAAAATGTTTGTATTCAAAACCTATTTTATTAATAAGACTTAACATAAAAAAAAAATTGTTACGGTTTTACTATCACATTTTTTTCAGTTCGGTCGCGCAGCAAAATGCCTGTCCCCTCCAAGCCTGCCGTAAGGAACTTCGTTCCAAAATCCGTGGAAAAAAGTGCGTGGAATAAAACCGTTAAATGAGACGTGCGCAGACGCAACAGTCGCATACACAAGCGAGTAGTGTATAATACCTTTCTCTTTCTCCTTCTTTCTTTTCGTTCTCTAACCTTCTTCTCTCTCTATTTAGTAATTATTTCTATTTCTATGTAATTTTATGTTGTCAACCAAACAAAACTTTGCCTCTCTTATATGTTTAAATAAAAGCAACGGTGACATGATATGCACTAGTAATAAATGTCAACTTCCGAACTCTGCTTATTTCTATACCTGACATCCTGTAACGAAAAAAATGTAGGTTCATAGAACTATATTTTTTATCAGTAAACATGAGCCGAGGAACTTATTCAACGTATTATATGTTTTTTTCACTTTGAGACATAAGGTTCAATTGCCCTTTAGTCTGACAGATTTCTTTTAGCCCACTGAGTTTCTCGCCGAATCTTCCGGTATTAGATTCTGCGAAGCACTGCTCTAGATAGGGCTGAAATAGCCTCTCAAGGCTATCGGCATAGGTAGGAACAAAAAAAAAAAGATTTCTTCGCAGTGTGGCAGAAGCTCGAATTGTGGTACGAATCTGTATGTATAGAATACAATGTCTCTCTTATCTATTAAGCCAGGCTCCTGAATCAAAAATATAAATCAACATTGAAGTGTTTTCTTTCCGAAATCCCTAAAGCTTAGTTGTAATTAGTTGTAGAGTTAAATTGTTTTGCAGACTTTACAGACGAAGTCAAGGACCGTGCGTGACGAATCCAAATGAAATCTTTTGAGGTCTTTCCGAAAGTCGTTGAACTTACGATCAACTTCAGTTGGCGATTCAAATAAAACACTGTTTGTTTGTTTACTTTATTTGCGGAATATATAAATAATAAATATTTGAGATTCAGCCTAAATATAAAGTACTATTCGAATCAACTATGGTATATAATAATAAGTATATATTTCATATTATATGTAAACGGTATATATTTTGTTTATTGTATGTATATATTTTCTATAATGTATTATCTATAGTACACCGCAACATACCTGCCATATTTTTTTATATTTTCCAGAATTTCTATAAATTATACGGTTGTCTGGAAGAGATCGCTTTTAGCGATAAGACCGCCTATTGTACAAATTTATCTGTTTTTTTATTGTTTTTTTGAATGTAAATTGTGTTTTGGTGTGCAATAAAGTGTATCCTCCTCCCTCTCCTCCTCAACTAGGTATACAAAAATAAATTTTAATACACAAGATCTTTCTTATGAGAATAAAATAATTACATAAGTAAGTAAAAAGGGCATGTAACGAGCCCGTATCTCGATCGTTGGACCAACGCCATTATCTTCAAAAGATTCTTTACAGCATTTCGTGCCAATTTCAACAACTTTCGGATAGAAATCGGTCCAAAATTCGAGTGCTTTGTAATTCACTGTCGCTGCGGTACTCATGCTAAAATTCTGTCGATCTATTATTAAGAACCCGGGCTTCTCAATTTCGAAAGGCTCCCAATTAATAATCACCCCGGAATTCGTTGGGTTTGAATACCAAGCGAAATTGGACCACATTTTCATTACTATATCGGAGATGCGCTTATCTCTGCGATCCCACTTATCTAAATCTTCCGGCAATGCCAAGTATGGTAATCCAAATGTAAAAATCAAATCGAAATTGTGCGGAACACCAATCCAGTCGGAAATACCTTCGTTGACCACTTCTGAGAATGGCTTCAAATCAAATCTGTACAAATAAACTGAAGTATGTTTACTAATATGCTTCGCAAGCTGATAGGTTGCAGCCGCATGTAATTTGTCAGTGTAAAATTCTAGATATAGCTTTCTTAGGACCGTTTCATTTGACGTGGGTGGTATAGGCTTATAGAAAAATGCCACGGCATCTTGTATGTGATGTTGGTTGGTGAAGCAGGAACTATTATCAACTGTTATGTCTGCAAGTATGATCTCTTCCCGCATAACGTCAAACTCTCTTTGACTAACGCCGGAATCACTGCCGTTTTTTTCAAGGAATAATGCATCTTCCATATCAGTAAAACCAGTTAAAACCGGTACAGGTGAAAACATTTCGTCTTCGAACAATTTACTAGGAAAGTCAGAAAGGACAGGACCCGAAACGTTACTAAAACCATTGTCTACTATAGGTTTCCATTGTGCTAATGGTTCTCCTATATTTAATAGGGCTTTAAACGGTACTCTCCTTAAACAGCCAAGTAAGGCACTTGTAGGCTCTCTGAAGCAACCAAATGCTCTGGCCACTTTGTTTACAGTAATGACTTCTTTTCTGGCTACGTTCACTTTATCTGGTGATAGTACGTTACCACTCATAGCTATAGCTTTCTGAAATAATCCTGCTGAATATGGTGATAAGAGATGAAAACCAACGCTCACAGAACCAGCGTCATGACCGAAAATGCATACATTGTCTGGATCACCTCCGAAGCTGGCTATATTATTTTTAACCCAAGTCAAGGCTGCTGTTTGGTCAAGAAGACCGAAGTTTCCGGGAGCCTCGTTATCTAATGACGAGAAGAAACCGAAGATGTTTAGTCGATAGGCCACTGACACAAATATGACCTGAAAAATTAATGTTTAAAATTGTATATTTTAAGCGAAACGCGCGGTGTGGTTCTCAATTGACATTAGTGTTACCTTTTGATTCAAAACCAATTGGAACGGGTTGATGTTGTTTGGACTGCCCCTGGCGAAATCGCCTCCGTGGAACCACACTAATGTTGGATAGCGCTCGACGTTGTAATCTGTCGATAAAAAAAACACAGGTGAACGATCACTCGTAGATTCGATGATTCGTAGTTATAACTATTCGATTCGTGATTAGATTCATTTTAATGGTTTTGAGACGCTCCGAAAATGGAATGATAAATGAATTTGTGAACAGTTTTAGATGATGAAATATTGAAATATGTATGTAGCTGATAGGATTATGGTTTCGTGGTTTTATGAGTTTATTATCTTATACCTTTAAACGAGCAATTCTTGTATATTAATATATGTATATATAATCTGAATCTCGGAAACGGCTCCAACGATTTTCATAAAATTTAGTATACAGGAGATTTCGGGGGAGATAAATCGATCTAGCTAACTAATCAACTCTTCCCGACATCTATCGACGAATAAAAATACTTTTTTTTTAAACGAGGGCAACTAACCGCTTTAAAGACACAACAAGATGGCGTTATCAAAAAAAAAAAGAAGAGGAAAGCTCGGTCATCATCTAGTTCTAACTAAAACAAGTAATGCATGTTAAACAACGGATTTTTGTTTACATATTTTTAAAGTAACATTAGCTTTAAAATAGCAGTAACAACTGCATTGCGATTACCATAAACTATTCTACCTTTAACTGTTGTATAGAGCATTCCTCTATAATGGAATGCAATATTAAATACTTGTGAGCTCATGGTTTATAAATTCGTGCGACATTTTACGAACAAGCATTCCTTATTATGCAAACAATAGTGCCAATTCCTACAGCTGTAATTAGGCCGAGAATCAGCAAGGTTAGGTCACTATGTTAAAGCGGAACATAAAATGGACGAACTATTTATTGGCACGGAATTCTTGCATTAACGACTTCGAAGTACCCTGAGTTATGTTTTATGGTGTAGTAAAGATTATATGAAGTGGTACTGAAAAAGCATACGATTAGACAAAATTAAGTGGGTGAAATTATTGTGTTTAACGTTTTCTTACTTTATATTTTAATTTATATTTAGTTTGGAATTACATATTATGTTATTTTCTTTTTTGTTTCGTTTTTTTGTTATCATTACGCTTTAAGCATGCGTTAAGTATGTACATAATGTTAATAAGGAAACTGGAAACTGAGCTCTCTCTTTTCCAGCTATTTCTACTGCAAAGCAGACGGCCTTACGACCTTTCCGGTCTGAAGGTTAGTGATTATTGTGATCATGGCAGTAATGGAATTTACCAAAGCGGAAAAGAAGCACAGTGATTTAAATTCACATTAAAAATATATATAGAAATAAACAAACATTTTACATTAAGCCACATCATTTTCATATGTTTTTATCTATTATGTACATCCGAACAACTAATAGCAAATATCTTTCACGAATCCCGTTATTCTCAAGTTACATTAAAAAAAATCTCAAGAAACATTCGGCTAACGGGGCGGAAGATACCTAAATGCCAATTATTATTTTTTTCCCTACCTATTCTAGTAACTTCAAGGGGTTATTCTAGATTCACTGAGCTAGTAGGTGAGCTCACGGGGCTCAAATCGGGAATGGTGCTAAAACTGGCCATAGGAAGAGCAGTGCTTCGCAGAATCTACCACCGGATCGGAAACGCGACCCACTGAGAAGATCCGGCGAGAAGTCAGTGGGCTGTGTCTATAGGTTAATTTACTCGTTGAGCCCTTCATCACAAGTAACGGGTCACTTTCATACATTATCACGAATGATACAGAATGTATGTCTAGTATTTTCATCGGTTTGCTAGTCGTAATCAAAATTTCTCATAAGGTTTGATATCGTGCTTTTTTTTTTTATTAATACTTAGATGGGTGGACGAGCTCACAGCTCACCTGGTGTTATGTGGTTACTGGAGCCCATAGACATCTACGATGTAACGTTCCAACGGAAAAAAAATACTTATTTTTTCTTTCTAAAAACCTAACGCGTGTTCATGAGCGATCTCTCCGACCTAGAAAAAAACACCAAGTAATTAAACTGAAACACGTTAAATTTGGTATTGGTAAGTATCGATTTTACGGCATAATGGGAGGCACCACTATCCTCCTTCTTTCTGTCTCAAGAAAGTTATAGATCTGTGTGCTTAGTGAGAGTTTTTGAACGTTCTCGATAGCGTAAAAGTTAGCTCATATTTGTATGGAATGGGATCGTTTGCCTACGTTTGCCGTTAGGGGGGCTGTTCCAACTGCATACAAAATTGGGCTAACTTTTATGCTTTTATTATATTAAAAAACTTGCACCAAGCACACTGGTTCGTTCGAAGAGCAGGACACGCATCACATAATGAAATTCGACCTCAATAGTCGGCCGATCTCCGATAACAACATAACACAAAGTACGCCCGTGAGTCCGTTGGTCGACATAGAGCAATTAAAAAAATATTTATTGCGTACTTAACTAGAGCTGGTAAAGCCCAACATTTATCTGTGACTCAGAAACAATAAGGTACTTGTCATATACTCGCACTAAACTAGTTTAACTCGACTAACGCGTAAAAATTTATTGCATTGACCTTTAATAAGGCGCTTCGGTGAATTCTGATGTTCATTCGACAAAATAGTAAAAAAACAAGGATAAATTTTTATTTTTTTGCGCAAATACGTGTACGATCATTACGTGCGTGCTGCTTTGAGACAGCTCAGCTTGAGACACCTGGTATTGTATAACATCTTTTCCAATCTTCAAGCCCAATACCAGAATGACTGATTGCTTCATTGTAGACTTCTGCTGAATGCTTGTCTTATAAATTGTTGATAGTGTTACGCGCTAGGGCTCAGAATAAATAAATGCTTCACCAAAGTACAACTTAAAACTGTATTTATCACTTAGAACACACACAGAACACTTTAAAATTCTCAATTCGCTTCTTCCGCTTCGCGTCAGGTGATCCGTTCGCTGTTTCGCTTCGAGTAGTTCCGATTACTGACTGACTGCGTACCATTTCGGCAACGCTTTTGTAGCCGATACCACATCCCTAGAATTGTCGCGATCATTCCTCGCAAGTCGAGTATTTTCGATGCGTGTTTCTGCTATCTGACAATAGATGGCGTTGCACTTCTCGAGCGTTCTAGATGTTACTAGATCCTTCGACTTGAGTCTGGCAATACTACTTACTGGTATATCTAAGCTGTTACTTATAAAAAAAATAAGTATTTTTTAATTGCATTAGTCGATAGACAAGTTAAGGCTGCACGTAGTGTCTACCATGCAACCCATTATTGCGTTAAGAAGGAATAGTGTGTAGTATCACCATCATTCCGATAGAGGCACCCGTCACGTGCGGACGTGCTCATCGTCCACTCGATCGCCCGGTCTTTGTTCGCCCGGCTTTTGTTAGCCCGGCCATTGTTCGCGCGGCCTGTGTTTGTGGTACATCTGCCGACTAAGTGCTCTTTCTGGAAGTTTTTATTTGTTTTGTTTCCTTTTGTTGTTTCTGTGTTCGTGGTACATCTGCCGANGCCCTCTGTGAATTGATATTTTAATTTCACGTATAATCCTAAATTAAAATTCACTACAAGAGCTTTCATACACACGTTAGTATTAAAAAATCTCACAGATGGCGCTGTATTAAATAGTATGTATATTTCTGTCTCATTCTTTTGTATTTGTGTCTCTTACCTGTCGTTTTTTCCGTTGCATCCGGTTTGAAATCACAACAATTCTAAAGAAGTTTTCACTTCAACAGATTCATTTAAATACTTATATGTTCGTCGTATTGTAAACTCTCATAACCTAAATTATCATCTATACTAATTTAAAAACCAAGAGTGGTTTTTATGGATGTTCCGTTATAACTACTGAACCATGCATCCGATTGACTTGATACTTGGTATCCATGTAGAAAATACATGTACTTAATGGATAAGCTAATATTTATATGAGTGTTGGACTCCCTAATAATAATGACAAACAATAGTAATGTTAATTTTAAATGCCCAGCGAAGCGGGCGAGTACGGTTAGTCTTTGATATAACTTTATAATACAGTAGCTATCGGTGGGTAATAGCAAAAAATAATGATTAATCAGAAAACGAAACAGTAAAAACAATTCAATTAGTAAAATCCAATTAATTTTGAAACGAAAATACTAATGGGCGTTATTAATTAATGAACTGCAGAGTATTCGAATTTCACTCGCAAAAAAATCGCTCCAAGCAATTAGGATTTGGGGATGGAACAAAAATATAAAAGTGTTGTTTTCATTCATAAAATGTTCGTTGCTTTTTTCAAAAGTTGCTAAATATTCACCATAGGCAGACGTATTTTGAGCCAACGGAAAAAGTTTATTAATAAACACAATTGATTTTAATTTGAGATTAATGAGAAAATTATTGGTGGTAATATTATTATTGGTAGTATTATATAATATTACTGGTGGTAGGACCTCTTGTGAGTCCGCACGGGTAAGTACCACCGGGTGCCTATTTCTGCCGTGAAGCAGTAATTCGTTTCGGTTTGAAGGGTACGGCAGCCGTTGTAACTATACTGAGAGCTTAGAACTTATATCTCAAGGTGGGTGGCGCATTTACGTTGTAGATGTCTATGAGCTTCAGTAACCATTCAACAATGGTGGGCTGTTAGCTCGTCCACCCATTTAAGCAATAAAAAAAAATCATTACGAAAACGTTTATTTTAGTGTTTCTAACAGGAAAAATGAAAACTTGGATTTCTAAGAAAATGTTTTAAATGCTAGAGAAGAGAAAGAAAAAAAAATCCGTTCTGGGCTATACGACCGGTGGTTATCGGGACAATCCCACAAATAGACTACATGAGATGCTCGTTAGTATGGAAAGAAGTATTTTTTGCTCAGTCTCAGTCAAAACATTTACTGTGAAGTGAAATGTTTTAAATTAGTTGAATGATTGAAATGAATTATCATGAATTCCATGAAATGCGTTAGCAAAAATAGTGTTGTAAAATGCGTTGTAAAAACAGTGCTTCCAAAGTCAAAGCCAAAGTAGGCCTCGTGTTATAGTAGGTCTCGTGTTTTAGTACGCCTCGCGCTGTATTTGGCCTCGTGTTACAGAAGGCCTCCTGTTATAGTGGGCCTCGGGTTGTAGGAGTTCTCGTGTTATAGTGGACTTCGTGTTGTATAAGGTCTTGTGTTATAGTAGGTCTCGCGCTATACTTGTCCTCGTTCTGTAGTAGGTCTCGTGTTATAGAAGGCCATATGCACGTAGTGATGATTAAAGAAATGTCAAAAGCTAGATTGAGGCTAGCTAGATTTAGCATAAGGGGTTGAAATTATGTTTCCTATGTTCTTATTTGGCAATATAATGCATCATAGTTTTTTTGAAAGCAGCCTTGAAACTAGAAAGAACTAGCAAGGGCAGCGCTTTGCTGATTGTGCATCGGATCGGAATCGTGACCTAAGCCAGCATAGCACTGTGAAATGATAAATCACAGGATCGTGCTATTTAAAAAAAAAACACAATATTGAGACAAAAAATATAAATCACCATACACCGTGTAGCGTAAACGGACAAACTATACCATTACTAGAGGTCCCGCAGTAGTCGAAATTCGACTATAATTAATTGGAATTGTAAGTTTGTACATTATTATGATTGTATTTTATACTTCTATAATCACAAATTTCGCCAAGGCTACACTATAAAAAAATACGAATAAAGACAAACAATATTTAATCTATTCTCAATTTGACCACAGACGTCAAGAACAAAAGTTTTGACAATAAATAGTATGTATGCGTGTGTGCGTCAAATACATGGTATGTAGTATGTGTAATGTTTTCTTTATTGATTTAATGTATCTTTTATGCATTATTTTAAAAAAATATTAGCATTGTACACTTCTTCTCTATATTCTCTGTAAGTGTAGAAAATTTCATACTCCTCCGTCCGCGCAATTTTCGTAAAAAGGGATACAAAGTTTTTGCTTCACGTATTAATATATTAAGATTATTTGATATTTCATGTTTTAAATTATTTTATTTGTTTGTTTAGATCATCGTTAAAAACAGTGCACGTTAAAACAAGCAACAGGTTTTAAGTGAGTAAATAAAGCGCTCAGCGAGCATTCTTTGTTTAAAGGAAAAACCCGAATAAAGTATATGCCGAAAGTAACTGGTATTGAAGAATTTCCTTCCTTGTTTTCGTCACGATTATATTACATATCGCAAGCTTACAAAACCACCGTCTACATGCATGGTATAAAGTGGTTATAAATATTTTGATATGAGTAGATATGAGTAGAAGAGTTATTTTGATAATATCCTGAAAAGCACCCCACGCTTTTTTACAATAAAAGAAATTTTTCTTACACTATTTTTAATTAAAAATTTTTTTAATATATTTTGTATTGTTTAGTTTTATTTTGTATAAAAGCGTATTTTGTTAGTTTTTATAAACTATTATTTATTTTTCATTTTTTAGTTGAATTTCATTTTTTTCCCTTAATAACCCTTCTACTCATATCTGTTGATAAAATATTTATAACTACTGATACCATGCACCCCACGATTTTTTTCATTTTTTTTAAATATTGAATTGTCATCAGTCCTTAATAAGTATAGGTACCAAATTTCGAGTTAATCCGACGTTTTAAAGGGGGTCAAATTCATGTTCAAAGATTCCGTACAAATACATACAAACATACATAAGTCTGAACCTAATAATAAAGGCGTATTAATGAAACTTCTATGCTGGACCAATTTTTTTTATTGTTTAGACGAACGAACGAACTCACGGCCCACCTGGTGTAAGTGGTCAACGGTGCTCCTGGACGTCAATGACGTAAACGCCATCACCACCTTCAAACATGAGTTGTAACCCTCATTTTTACTCAAGCATGAAAGCTACTCCGTTCTAAAAACTGGAACGCATCAGAAATAAGTAAGTCATTGGCACCTACCCGTACAATCTCACAGGACGCCCTTACCGTCAGTGAAGTAAGAATTATAACTTCTTTTTTCATTTTGACAAAGGCTAGAATAAAAGCGAGCCGACAAAAAAGAATGTTAACGATTCAAAATAATAATAGAAAAGCGAAAGCTCAGTTGGTGTCCAGTCCGGAACCTTCCGGAACCTGCGGCTTCAAGAATAAACGCACGCATGCCATCTATCGATCCACAAATGCCTTACTAAATTTATTAATCTTCTTTTTCTTCTTAATCCTTTTCTTTTTTTTTCTTGTAGATAATTATTTATATATTTTATTTACTCTACGCTAAATGGCCACATACATACATGTAGGATGGTAAGAACAGAACGTTAAGATGTGAGTGAGAGAAAACGGTAATAAAAGGAAAAGAGAATGACAAACAGAATGACAGAGAAAAAAGGACGGCGAAGACAGATAAATGAACAAGGCGTAAAAAAGGTGTCCTTTATTTTTTTACTATTAAAATAAAGAAGATTTTGGAAAAGAAGAATAAAAGTTACAAAAAATTATTTTATTTTATGTGTCAGGATCCCAATTCTATATACTATTACTATTTTTGTGTTGTTATTTTTGTAAAACAAAGAAAGCCTAATTAAAAAAAATCGAATTTATGTTTTTTGTATTTAAAAAAAAAATCGGCCCAAAAGAAGTTAATAGCAAAAACATATTAAAATTAGTCCGTTTCCACACATTCCTAACATTAGTATCTTTGATTGAATTGATCGAGCATTTGAAAGACCGCGAGCACTCTCCGCGGATGGCACTCTCAAATGAATCGCTTGCCTCTTTAGATTAAGAGCATTACCAAACTG